GGTTGACTCAGCCTTCCATCCTTCCGAGGTGGGTAAAATGAGGACCTGGATTGTTGTTGGGTGCGATACGCTGACTCTGTAAACCGCTTAGAGAGGGCTGAAAGCCCTATGAAGCGGTATATAAGTCTAACTGCTATTGCTATTGCTATAAAAAATTTGTCCCCTCTTACACTTATGAGATGAGATCATCTCTGCTCTGCTCTCTATAGCTCCCAGATGGAATAGGAAGGGAAAGATGGTCCACCTGCCCTGATTAGCTCCCCTTGCACCAAGGAAAATGCTGGAGAACTTGATAGACCATAATGTACTGATGTGTTCAAAATCATATTCTTGGACTCAAGAAGTTGCTGTTATATGCAGTTTTCTCCTTGTTGAAGAAGATCACTTTCCTTGCATGATTTTCAGGCAATGTAAAAAGTGGCCTTTTCAGAATTGGATGAGATTAGTCATTCCAAGACAAAATTGTCACTACAAGTGAGGCAAGGAAGGAGGGATGAGCATGTTACCTCTGCATCGACCACCGCCACCATCCAGTGAAGCTCTCCATACAACTTAAAAACCGGACTTATTTCAAGCCTCTTTCTACTAAATGGTTCTTCATAATAAACTGTATCTTTCAGATGTTATTTAGTCTAAATGCATTAGAATAACCTTGTATGATTATGATCTTCCTGGGTGATCTTTAGGAAGCCTGTAGGTCTTTAAGATGCTATCTGAATCCCAGATATTAAACTTTTTAGAGATAGGCTTAGGTTTTAGCTGATGATTTCTCACATTGACAAGAGTTTACACTTGGCATTAAGCCATAGTGTATATATGCGTTGCTTTGACTTAGCACACATGAATCCAAGCATTAAATGTTTTATGGTTTAGCATGAAGTGTGACTCTAGCCAGTGTAAAGTATTCAAAGTTAAAATAAATCAGGTCATAAGTGAAACAAGTGACAAATGGGTTGACTGACTGTACAAACAGCCATATCCTTTCATTTCCCAATCTGTTGCTTGCTTTCTTCTTCCAGTGGACCGAATGGCACCCCCTGTCCCCTGTCCTTCTGGCTGGCACAGCTGATGGCAACTGCTGGATGTGGAAGATCCCTAGTGGAGAATGCAAAACCTTTCAAGGGCCAAATTGTCCGGCTACATGTGGCCGTGTCCTTCCTGATGGTGAGGAGTATTGTTTTTGCTGTTAGAATTGCTTCAGGAATGGAACTGCCCCATTGCTTGGCACTGCCAAACACATCCTCTATTTCCTTTCACAACGAGAAACGGCATTGTGTTGCTTGGAATTTTGGTATGGGATGGGAAGGTCCTTGGGCCTCTTTAAAACTAAATTTGCCTGAGTACCCTAGAAAATAACTAACACAAAAATGCTTCATGCAGGAAGAAGGGCCGTTGTCGGTTATGAAGACGGAACAGTGCGCATTTGGGACCTGAAGCAGGGCAACTCACTACATGTTCTGAAAGGTACTAAATATTACGTGGAAGGAAGCCTATTGAACCTCTGGCTCACTGGAACATAATACCTGTATCCTGGTCATCTCACCTCTGCATAAAAACCTGGGTGTTTTGCCCATTTCTGTTGCTTTAGATTTCCTGCAAAGTAGGGTCAGCCTCAAAAAAAAACCACCATGTCCTCTTTGGAAACAAGATACAGGTTCTCAAGGAAATACAGGATCCAAAGATACTGATAGGGCAGGTGACTAGTCATACATTTCATTTTGCAACCAGCTCAGGTTTCCATTTCTGTATAGTTCAGCAAGTTGGAGGTACCAGGAGGACAACAAAACCTGGCTCTGATAGGATCAGTTGTTTAATTGTAGAAAAATTGTATTTGTATTTAATAAATTTATAGGCCACCCAATCCCGGAGGACTCCGGGCGGCTTAATTAAATAAATTAGCATTTCTTGTAACTTTGCATCATTAACATGGCATTGTGGTGTTTCTGTTCACAGAAATCGGGAGTTTGGGAATCAAGATGTTAGCCAAGATAGCACATGAAAAAGGAAAAGGAACCTTTAACAGGGTCTTTGATTGGATGTGTCTTTTTTGTCTTTCCAGGTAATGAGGGGCACCAGGGCCCTTTAACATGTGTGGCCAGCCAGAAGGATGGCAGTCTAATCCTGACAGGTTCTGTTGACTGCCATGCCAAGCTAATAAATTCTGCAACTGGAAAGGTAAGTGCTTCCCTCCCCCTTCCTGTTACTTGTCCAGCTGTGCAAAATATCTGTTTGGTTCATTTGGATAAGGTTGTTTAGTAGTGCTGACATTTATATTTTTGACCCAAGTTTACTTCAGAGTTTGAACTTTCTTCCCCGTTATTTATCCAATTGCCCTATGAACTCATTTGAAGAGAAGGAAAAAGCTGGTTCATAGTTACCCAATAAACTTCTCTGGCGAGTAGGGATTTGAACCTGGGCTCCGCAGTTCTTGGGCCAGTTTGGTATAGTAGTGCCAGGCTAGAAACTGGGAGACCTGGCGTTCTAGTCTTGCTCTTAGCACAAAACCAACATGGCGCCTTTGTGCCAGTTGCCTTCTCTCTCTCAGCCAGTGGCAAACCACTCCTAAAACTAGTATAACTTGAAAGCACACACTTTCTCACTACTGGAAAATTACTTTGGCATCTGAGAAGATTATCCCATTTCAAACCTGGAGAAAAGTTTGCCGTGTAATCAGGCTCACCCATGATTGCCCCACATTTTGTCACTTTGAGTAATATCTGAGCAGAAGTTAGCTTTCATTTCCTATATCTCCAGAGCCAAATGTAAGATGTGGAATTGTAGATAGACATGAAATATTTTTTTTGCCATAAACTCTGATTATGAATGGAGTCCTGATTATGACCATTTTGTAAACTAGAAAATCCATCCAGAAATTTGTTGATGCCCAGTAACAATCGGTGTGTACTTTTCCAGACTTATGTTTTGCATTCTTGGCCAAGATTATAGCATTGTTGATTTTATTACATGCAGCATATCTCCACCCTGTACTTGCGGCAAAGTATCTGTCATAATGTTCTGCTTCTTGAATGCACAGAAAAGCTATTGTTGGCTGCCTCTTTCATGCAGGTGGTGTCTGTGTTCAAGGCAGAGAGCAAGCCTGCAGCTGAGGAGGAGGCAGAATCCAACTCAGTGGAATCCCTGGGTTTCTGCAATGTGTAAGTACTCAAGGGGAAAGGATATGAGTCTGGTTACAGATGGCTATTTATTTTTATTTTTATTTATATTTTTGAGATAGACACAGTGAGTAAGAGTAAACAAATAGTCAGTTTGGCCCAGAAAGGCACATTGTTTCTCCGACTTGGCTGAGGTTCTAAGTCTCCTTCCCAGATCTTTATGATAGCGGATCCGGACACGGACCGCAAAGATGAAGGAGATACGTATTTTCTGGCATCTTATTTCTTTCTGATTCCAGAAAAGAATTACTCAATTCCTCTTTGGCTTTTAGAAACTCCTGCAAGTTGATCACATTCAGAGAAGGGAAGGAACAATTGCCATGAAATCCTCGTTGTATATTGGCTTGCATTTGGCAATAACTACATGCTTTAAAACCATTTCCGCTCTTAGGGCTAGTGCGTTGTTTTGAACCAGCTATCCACAAGCCAGCTGGCCAAGTCATCTCTAACCATCATCAATCAGACAGCAATTGAAGGATGATCTTGGGAAAATGATCTGTATGGCCTGTAACCAGTTCTGCCCTGGTAGACATCTGCTGATGTTCCTCAAAGCCAACATCATATGATACATATCTAAGCTTCCACAAAGCGGGGGGGAAGGCTGATAATGATGTAACCTAGATAATATGCTTTTCTGATGATCATGAATGATTTCCCTCCCCACAAAGTGTGCAAGCCATATAAATTCTTAGTGCCCACCTTATGTGGATGAGCCAAGGATCTCTTTAGCAAAGCAAGAGGGACTAATGCTCTGATGATTTATTTAATTACTGTATATTATAGGTAGTCATCGACTTACGACCATTTGTTCAACAACCATTCAAAGTTACAACACCACTGAAAACAGTGACCTATGACCGGTCCTCACAATTATGACCATCATTAGCATCCCCACAGTCACACAATCAAAATTTGGGCCATTGGCAACCAGCATATATTTACAATGGTTGCAGCATCCTGCAGTCACCTGTGATCACCATTTGCAACTTTTCCAGCTGGCTTCTGAGAAGCAAAATCAATGGGGAAAGTCGAATTCACTTAACAAACATGAGATTCACTTAACAACTGCAATGATACAGTTAATCATGGCAAAAACTATCACGTTTGTCACAAACAAACCAACATGCAGTTAATCATGGCAAAAGGAAGGTCATTTAACAATCCTCTTGCTTAGCAATGGAAATTCTGGCCTCAGTTGCAGTCGGACGTAAGTCAGGGACTACTTATATCTTTCCTACAATACTGTACAAGTTCCAGTAAAAATCCTTCTCTACTGCTTTCCTGTTGCAGGATGCCACTGGCAGCAATTGGCTATTTGGATGGGACCTTGGCTATTTATGACCTTGCCACGCAGACTCTGAGACATAAGTGCCAGCATGAGGTAATGGAGCATATCGTGATCACCAGGGGGCACACTAGAAAGGAACATATTACTCAGAGGCATTCTGGCACAGAAGCACACTAGCATTTAGAGGCTGCTTCTCACAATTTTCTGGGTGCTATTTGAGAGTCATGATCAGGAGGAAGGAACTAGATAAGCCTTCCTTCCTTTTTTGATAGAGAGAAAAAATAATAGGCGTCTGAAAAAATGCTGTGGTTTAGGAAGAAAGCTTTGTGTAAGTTGCTACAGTTCAAGGCATGTCAGCTTTACCGATTGGCCTGTCTGCCTCTACTTCTGCCTCTGTCATTTCCCCATTTGTATCATGATTTGGTGCTTTTTGCCTTTCAGAAGAGTAAATGTGGCAAACATTTTGGAATGGCCAGACTTGTAGTTAAGCCCTTGCCTGGTGCCATTGAGTAGAATGAACTCTGTGAAGACAAAGGAGCAGGCTGGCAGGGAAGGAATAGCAAGGTGCATCCCTCTATTCTGGGCCACCTGAAGACCAAATGGCCGAAGCAACTCAGAGGTTGGCATTCATCCTAGGCATAGTGTACACAGGCAAAAGATACGGGTTTCACTCTTGTTTGCCTCTCCCAGCCAGTTCAGTAGAGATATTTGCAGGGCTGTTAACTTTAATGGTCAGAGTGTCATATGTCTGTTTCTATTTGATTCATGTCCTGTTGTTATTTTTTTAATTAGCATCGCTTTCCCATGCCAGCCTTGATTTTGGCATGCCCTGGGTTTATAGGCCAGACATTTTGCTTATTAGGCAATTATACACATATATGCATACACATACTCTCACCATGGCTAGGGAAAGAAACTTCATTCATTTATTCCTTCATTCATGTCTACTTATTTCCATAATAATTGCTTGTGCAATTTCATTGTGCAATTAAATTTCAAAGAAAGCAATGTATATCAAGGGAAAGAAACACAGCTATTTGGAAAATAAATAGAAATCAACCACCATCCTAGCCCAAAGGAGTCAGGCCCTGTGTCATGAAGACCTTAATAGGTAATAATCAACAACTTGAACTCACCCAGAAGGCAATTTATAACTAGTGCAGGATACATGAGCATTATAAGGCCTGTCAATCACTGTCCACACCTCTGCTCCTGGACCAGCTGTAGCTTCAAATTGATCTTCAAGAGCAGTCCTGGGTAGGAGTGTGCATTACAGTAGTCCAATCCGGAGCAAGGCTGATTGCCTGAGAGGCCTCCTGGTCAGGATGGGTGCAACTAGTGTATCCCATATGCCTGGGCAAAAGGCCTCTTGGGCACAGCTGTCACCTGCTCCTTGAGGTGCACTAGTTTCTCATTGCGAATTGCAACCCTTTGAAAGACTAGAGACGGGAATGTTCTGGGATCAGACAAACAAAGACACTCAATCCTGTCAGAATTGAACTTAATCCAGGCCCACATGGCTTCTAGTACTGGGTCAGGATTTCAATAGCATCAGCTGGTTGGTTACACATGAGGCATAAAGTTGTCTTCAGACTGACTCCAGTCAGATGACCACATCCACCCAAAGCAAGTCCTGTAAGATATTGTGGGCTGGAAGCCACAGAGAGATCAAGGAGTACTAGGATGAACACACACTGCCACTGTCCCTCCTCCATTACAGGCAGGGGTGGCCTTCAAAAATTTCAGCAACAGATTCTCTCCCTGGTTGCTGGGTGGGCGTGGCCAGGGTGGGCGTGGTCAAGTTGGCCTCCTGTACCACAGTGGGGTGGGGGGAAGGGGATTTCACCTTCCCCAGGCTCTGGAGGCTTTCCTCAAGCTTCTGGGAGGGCAAACACTACTTCCCCCAAGCTCCGGAGGCGTTTCTGGCGTTCCGGAACTTCCATGAGGTCCGTTTTCCCCCCACCCTGAGCCTCCGCAGGGGCCCTGCACTTACCTCGCATCCAAAACGGGCCGTGTGGAGATTCCTGGGAGGGGAGGGGCCAGCCAGAGGTAGGATTTGGGTTTCCAGCCATAACGTTAGCTAAGGAGCTCTCCCGAACCCAGGCGAACCTGTAGCAGCCCGCCCCTGATTACAGGTCATCACCAGGCAGGGCTAGTGCTGTCTCCATACTGTCCTGATACTCAGTTGAAGGAAAGGTAGTCATCTGCTTTCTCCAGGGCCTTCTGGAGCTGAAGCCCAACCATTCTCTCCACCACCTTCCCTAGAAAGGGAAGGTTGGAGACTAGCTGGAAATTTGATGTGATGGCCTCTTGAGGAGTAGGCAATCAAAAGAAAGTATGATGAAT